TGCTGCCTCTGGGATGAAGTGCTGAGCTGAAGACCAAGATGGAGTCCACCACATGGCCTATTTATCCCTCCTTCCTGGTCTCTTCTTGGCTACAGCAGGTCACCTGGCCCACGGCTTATTCCTGTGTTCCCTGCTGGTAGCTCTTAGGTATGAGTCACCACTCATTCTTGAGGTGTGTCCTTGGCCCATTGAGTGCCACTGTCCCAGAGGGTCTCGCTGATTAGCATGTCCATTGGCCTGGCTCTGCCCACTGCTCAACCACATGCAGAGAAATATTCAGTATCTACACAGATTACAGACTCCTAACTACACACACACACACACACACACACACACAGTATACAATCACATGACTAGCGTACATAGGATTAGCACACAGTAAGCTTCTATTCAACACCCCACATGGCCCCCTATTATACCATTTCTGGGGTCAACACCCCCACCTATGGGTGCAGCAGTGATCTGGCTGCTTCCCTCAAATTCAGTAACATGACAGATGAGTAACCGTAAAATACTGGTAGATTTCTCCATATTGCATTGAAGGATGTTGGCCTATAATCAGATTACTGAGAGACACCAGGGAGGCAGTGAACGCCTGCCTCTCTTATCAAGATCATTACAAGCAATTAATTACTGATTCTCTTATGTCTATCCAAAAGCAAGAGCAAAACATCAAGCCCCAGTTCTTTGCCTTCCGCTGGCTGACGCTGCTGCTGTCCCAAGAGTTCCTGTTGCCAGACGTCATCCGTATCTGGGACTCGCTCTTCGCAGATGACAACCGCTTTGATTTTCTGCTGCTTGTCTGTTGCGCCATGCTGACGTGAGTGCTGGAAGACACTGAGGATACTGACTCGAGCGTGCTCTCCTTAGTCCCACAATTGAAATTTTGTCTCCTAAAGCTGAGTCTTCCCCATGCTGGGCGGAAATATAAATATGGGCTGTGTGCTCTTCCATCTCTCTCTCTCCCTGCTTGAATCCACAGATATAGAGGCCTCTCTAGCATGCAAGAGACATGAGAAGGGGGCTCTAGTAAAAGGGGAGAGCCATTTTTTTCCACAATGGCAAAAGAAACCCTTTAGGAAGGGTAGAAGGCATGTGGTGAGCCCCTCAGATCTTAATGGCTGACTTTTGGGATGTTTTTTGGACAAGGTACTAAAGAGGCAATAAGTACTTGGATTAATGTATCCTCTTTTACAGACTAATCCGGGATCAATTGCTGGAAGGGGACTTCACTCTGAATATGAGGCTGCTACAGGTAAGTGCTAAAATACATCCGGAATGGGGAGGAGGTGAGATTTTTTTTTTCTCTTGTACAATACTTGAATACAATAGACCAGTGGTCTCCAGCCTTTTTAAGCGTGAGATCACTTTTGAATTTAAGTGCAATCCAAGATCTACCTCAAATATAAATACCCCTGCCCCACCTCCTTCCTGCCCTTTATCCAAGGCCCTGCCCCGCTCACTCCATCCTCCCTCTCTTGCCCATTCTCACTCACTTTCATCAGGCTGGGGCAGAGGGTTGAGGTGCAGGCTCTGGTCTTGGATTAAAGGATCTGGAGTGTGTGTGTGTGGGGGGGGGCTCTGAGCTGCTTTTGGGGCAGGCCTTTGGGATGTAGGAGGGTTCTAGGTGCAGGCTCTTGGGACAGCATTTGGATGCAAGGGTGCTCAAGACTAGGACAAAAGCTTGGGGTAAAGGAGGGGGTTCATGATTGGGGTAGAAATTTGGGATGTGGGCCCCAGCTGGGCACTGCTGGTGGCTCCTGGTTGGTGGTAGAGTGGGGCTAAGGCAGGCTGAGGCTCACCCCTGCCCTGGCCCTGAACCACTCCCTAAAGCAGCCAGCAAACTCCATCCCAGATCCTGTTGTGCCCCCCTCTGCTCTGTAGAGAAAGGATACAAGGTAGGAAAAGAGGCACCCTGACATCAGCATCCTTCCTTTCCCTGCTCTGCCCTGCCCTGCCCAGAAAGCAGAAGCCTCCCGGGGGAGGAGCAAATCCAAGGCAAAGGGCAGGAAGTATGCAGCAGTGGAGGGGGGAGGGAGAGAGAGAAGGGGCAGCTGAAGTGCAGGCTCTTGATAGCCTCTTGGCCAAACTAGTCAGGATCACCTGTCAGAGGCTCCAAGATCTACCAATAGATCCAGGTCTACTGGTTGGTGACTACTATAATAGAGGTAGCCTTCTTGGAATATAGTTACCAACCTTCTACTGATCATAATGAAACCATTTGTTTGAAAACTTCGTGGTATGGTATAAGATCAAGCATTAAATTCTTCTGTGTGCTTCCCTTCATTGGAAAATCCAGTGAATCCACTCATGGCTGATAACTCTTAATAAGGTGTTCAGGCTTCTTGCAATCTATCTGCTACTGCTTCTGATTGTTTGCTCCTCTAAAGGCAGCCTTTGCCTCCCTAGCTGATTTGCATGTAGAAAGTGGCTGTATGACTACATTGCTACCTGTTCCTGGCTGTTAATTTGCTCTTTCAACTCCAGTTATAAATGCTGGACATTTTGCTACTAGAAGTAAGCTTAGTCCCTGCCCCAGAATAGAGAATTCCTTCTCTTAACTCCTGAGTCAGTCTGGTAACATGTCTGGGCCTGTCAACTGCTCTGAAAGCAGCATTGCTATTAAAATGTCATCTCTTAATTGGGAGTCCCTCAAAAAAGAATGACAAGCCATGTATTGGCAGGGTCCCGATTAAGAGAACTGTATTTATTCCATACAATAAAATTTTATTTTGGATCCTGGCATCCTTAATAAAGACTTCCATTATGCAGCTATTCATTGTGTAAAGCCAACTTAACCCCATGCTTGGGACTACCAGAATAATCTAATGTTGTAGGATGTACAAGACTGAGTAATAAAACATAGAAGGAAATTATTTTTGTAGTGACTCTAACTATAAACACCAGGGCATTCACTGGGCTAACTAATGATGCTTGCAGAGCCTCTGCCCCTGATAAAAGGAAGAATAGGGACAATGAACATTAAGAAAATAATCCATTTCCTTTTTTAATGCAGGATTATCCCATCTCTGATGTTCACTTGATTCTGAAGAAAGCAAAGGAGCTTCAGGACTCCAAATAGTCCATAGGCCTGTGAGAGAAACTGTGCGGTAATGTATCCTAGGAGACAGCCTCCTACATGCAGTGCATCGTCAGAGCTTCTACAGTCTCTGCTGGATGTTTGGTTTTGTGTCCCAGCAATTGGCCTTGAAGACTTCCTTCTACTCTATTAGGTGAAAGACTGCCTATTCCCCAGCTAGTCATGTTCTGCACTCCAGATTTTCCTAATCTCAAACAACTCCACACTGCCTTGTGCAGTACTTCGTATTTTTTTAATGACTTTAAGTTTGGGGGGATGGAAATTGTTTAGCTACATATCCCTCAAAGTCTTATGAAATGAACTCTTGTCATCATAGCACTATGGAAATGTGCATACGCACAGAAACTTCTGTGTTAGGGGCTGGGACCAGTGGGATTTTGGTGAGTACAGAAAGAAGAATGTCTCAGTGTAAATGCGTGTGTCTCTGACATCATGCATCGTGCTGGTTTGAGTAACTGCTGAATTTTGTTCCTTTTATGCCCACGCCTTACCATCTCTTTTGGGTGCACACAAAAGGTCCCATTTCCTCCTGGTGAATGGCAGGTGAGGATTCAAAACAAGAGAGTGTTTCATGGGAAAGAGACTTTAAAAAGCTCAAGCAAGAGAATGCTATTACTGCTGGCTGCTTTGTACGGTGAGATTGTTCTCCAGTAGAGTCTTCCCCAGGATTACTTAATCAAAGAGTTGTCTCCTTGATGCTGACCTGTCTTAGAAGCTAGAACTGTGTGGTTTTAATCAGTGTAATTCAAATGAGCTTTATGGTACTTACAGCCTTAGAGCAGGTTCCCTGTTGAGACTGGTTGTTTAGTGCCACTGCTATAAATCATGCTTTACCCTAATGCAAAGGCAGGATCTCTGACTGCAAACAGGCCTGTGCTGCAAACAGTTGTTTTCAAAGACTTATTAATAGGCATAATGATGGTTTTGTTCTTAAGCTGAGTTTTTGTAATATTACCCAGAACATTCCAAATGTAACTGAACTTGAATAAGCTCTAGTCACATTTTTTTCATATCGTCCTGTGGTACTCTCTTCTGGGAAGTGACTCGAACTCACAGATCAGATTAACACCAAGCCTATCTTTGGATGTGATCTACTGTAGTTAGAAACAATTCAGTAGGCGTCTACTTCCCCATTGGCAGTTCCTGAAGGAAGGAGAGATCTGCTGTTTGTAATAGGGCAGTAATACCTGAGGGTTATTAATTAATGTACTCCATTTAGATACAATGGATCAGGCCCAGTCTGCACAGATTGAGATTAATACTAGGGAAACATGTAGCCTGCAAGTTAGCTTTGGCATGATCAGAAGTCCTCAGCCACGGTTTGGGTCAGGGTGATGACTGTGGACGAAACTGGAACAGCTGAGTATTCCAGCTGCTACAAGAGATCTCAAGCAAATGCTGCCCTTAGGTGCTTTATTCTGCCTCTGCATAGCTGTCTAATGTGGTGACTGTTCTGTATTTATAAAATCTGAGCATTTTGCGTTATGATGTCTCTCTTAATTTTGTGCTTTCTCAAAGGTCTGCTCACGCTGCTGGTGAGAACTGGTAGTATAGTAGCCATAGTTGTACCATAACTGGGAGGTTATCAGCCTTCAGATATCAAGTTTACGCTATGTTCCAACTCCTAAAGACTGATCAAAGTTCTGTGTAGCTTAGTGAATTTTTAGAGGGACAGTTTATCTTTGTTGGTGTCGGGGCTGTTAGCCGCTCTGATAGTGCCTGATATTTTACACTCGTACTCCAATGCTGCTTCATTTCTATGAACCAGAATAAATGCTCCAGTAATGAGGATGCAGCAGAGTCTTTCTGCTTGGATGTGGGGAGAGAGTTTTAAACAACTTTTAGCTCAGTGACCAAGCGGGTTGATGGCTTCCCATTTTACAGAAATCCTTCTTATGGGATAGATTCTTTACCATAAGAAATGGACATTTGGGAGAATACCATAGCTCTCCGTTTATAGGCAACTATAGCTGCTCCCCATGCCTTTTTAATCTCTGTGTCTGTGTTGGGCAGCATCTGTTTCAAGAGAACATGTGATGCATCTCCTGTGCTAGAGAGGCCAATACTAAGTTGCTTTTTGTCATTGTAATGACTGTGGTTGCCCATAGGCAGCAAAACTCCCACTAGAATCATTGAGGTTTGCCTTAAGGACTGTAGGATTGACTGAAAAACTTGTCAAAAATGTTCTGGCTTAGAACTGCCCAAGATGTCCTCCATTTAAAGTATTTCCCACCCCCTATTTATTTATCTGACTCTTATAAACAGTCTTTTGAAATGTTTCATGATTCCTGGGCTGTGTGGATCACACTTTCCTTAAAAGGAATCCTTCCCATCCTCCATCAATATACACACTTATTGGCATGTTAACATAGTGACACAGTCATGGTGTGTAACATGCTTCTTTTAATAGTGGGTGAATAATGGTGGTAGTCAGAAGACCAAAATCTTTAATACATTCTAAAATGCTGTGTAGGTTTCTTTACAATACATTAATTTGTAATATTATCATATAGATAGGTATAAAATATATATTTATGGGTGGATTTTTTTTTTTTAATGCACAAAGTCTTGTGTTAAATAAAAACCCTTTCACAATGGTAGACCATGAGAATATATCAAGTTTCCTATTTGGATTTAAATATTCCCTTGTTGTGTCTGCAGCTCAAATATTGCAGCACTTTGTTGGTGCTTGAAAACTTGAAAGTGACTTCAGTTATCCTCTCTGCTTATTCATTGTGAACGAAATGCAGAAAGCAGGTGTATGACTGAAGAGCTGATGTACTAAAAATTTTAGATCTTCCAACCTGTAGTTGTCACCTGACCAGGTCCTTTTTAAAGAAGGTAACTCCAAAAAATCATACAACTGAGGAAATGTGCTGTGTAGACTGGTTTAGGGCCGAAACCAACTTTTTCTGAAATCATTGGAGTCTTTCTGTTGATTCTTTTGGGAGTTGGATTAGACGTTTAAGGAATAACAGCCCAGATGTGAGTGAAGAGGCCTGGAACTGATACAGTAGTGTAGCCATCTCCATTGCTGTATAAAAGATGCTTAATTTTGGGTCTTGCTTCTGTCTTCATCCTCCTAGCTAGCTGGGATGCACTATTTAGGATGGTGTTGTAGAGTTCCCACATAAATTGTGCTTATCGTAAGGAATAAAACGTATTCTAGTGGGAAATCTCCAGATTGTGGTGGTGAAAGTAATTGAGGATGAGAACGGAGATCCTTACAAATGACACCCCGGTGGAAAACAAATGGCAGACACACACCTTAGATGTCTTCAAGGATGTGGCTTAGTCCAGAATCCTTAGTTTTTGCTGCAGGCTTTGATTAAACTCCATTTTTAGGGTCTCCTCCTGTTTGAACAACATATGGCCTGAACGTTTTATTTATGATGGTTTAGCGAGTTGAAGCTGAACATCTGTAAACAAAGGAGAGGTTCTCTAGATGACAGTGAAATAAAAGGTATAACAGCGTAGAAAACTTGAAGGGAGTTCCCTTCATGGTTCCCAAAGTCAAGACTAGAGAACTTGTTGCACTGATACAATTTGTGAGGCTCTGTTTCCTACTTGAAAAGACCTCTTTTCATTAGTAACTTGGGTCCCTTACTATTTTTTAACACTTAACTTTGAGCAATGGAGGGTTTGCTGTGTTGATATTTGAAGGGACAGAAGCTGTTGAAAAGGCTTGTGCCTTTTTTCTGATACTTTAAGATTATATATACAGCTGACTCTTATTGTAGCGTGGGGCTTGTGTTTCACTTTAATGGGGCAGACAAACACTGTTTGTTTGGAGAAAACTTAACAACTGGGAACTTACTGTCAGCCCTTCTGACTAGTTACCCTGACTCCCATTCCTCAAATAATTTTAAAGCTGAACAGCATTAACTAGCCCATTGTCTGTTGTCTTTGTACATATAGTGGCTGCCACAAACCTGCAGGATTGGAGAAATCTTACGTGGGATTTGTGACTCCAAAGCTTTCTCTGTGACTGGAGCAGCTTTGAGAATTTCAGTGCATAGCTGCTCTTTCTTTCAGTGCTTGTGGGGGAGGGGATCCAAATACACAGGAGAAGATTTAAATATCTTAAGCCTTGAATTCATTAGCTGCTCACTGTGTAATACAAATAATGTCTCCAGAGCAGGGGCATTACAACTTCATTGGAAGCTTTTCCTCTTGCATGGGGGAGTGGGTCTGGAAACTAAGCTGAATTGAGGGATGAATTGAACATAAGGGAAAAGGCCAGCATCTTGTGCATGTGCCACTCCCCTTTCCCCATGAAATCTTGTAGCCTTTGCTGAGAGAGGGAATTGGGATAGCAGAATGTAATCCTGAGGTTGTTCACTTAAGTCAGGGAAAGGTAGAACTGATTTTTTTTTTTCAGGGCAAGTGCTGTCTAGGTTAGCTTTGGACTGGAGTTCTGTTGTCCATTCTTGAATTACTTACAGCTGGATGGAGTGAAACTTAGGAGCTGCTGTAGGAAGCACAATGAAGTATGCATATAAGGGCTCTTGTTACTTTTAAATGAGCATTAGTGGTTTTTTGTATGTTTTAGCCATTCAGAATTTTTTTCTAAAATGCCCTTTTGCAAAAGGGCAAATCTGATTTATACAAGTTCTACAACCCCTTTTCAGTATGGAGAACACTTCTGTATGTCATGCTTTTACCACATATTTAAAGTGTTGTTAAACACTATTGATTTTGATGAAGCTCCCTTCTGCTAAACAGAGGACTTTGTATTGATATCTGCTATCCAATAACAATGAGACTCCCCCATTGTGCTCACAGTTAAAGCTGCTGTATATGGTTTATTACAGTGTTTCTGAATGCCTTCTGCCATAATAACTAAAGGAAGCAGTATGTCAGTTGAACATCAGTAGAACTAATCTCACTCTGTTGTATCCTGGGAGTCTGTTGGTAGCATAGGGTTCTACATTTATAAGCTAAACCTATCCACTACCACTGCCTTATTCTTTTTCTAAGCAAGATTATTTGGCTTGTTATTTTGAGCCTTCCTCTATTTTTATAGTACTCTGGTTTCTGGTGGGATAGGGAGTATGGGTGGTGTGTTAAAGGAGGTGGTCCAAACTTGAATTCACAAGGCCCAAGGTGTATTCTCTCATTATCTACAGGGACTATGTTTAGTAGGGACCTGGCTGTGTCTGTGCCGGTGTGGCTTCCTATAAGTAAAATTGAACAAGCATTTGTAGACAAAGCTGTTGCTTGACAATATTTCTGAGACTGCACAATGTTCCTGATAGGAAGGCCTGCTTGGACCATATTAACTGTTGAGAGTCACTGACTTTGCACTACAGATTTAAGCAACACTGTACAAGCCCACCCTCCCCGCACCAGGACAGTTGCTACAAATCCAGTGGAAGGAACATGCTGTTTCCTCTAACCTGAAGAAAAGAAGTAAAGATCTCTGATCCACAATGACATGCAGAGGGGCTGGGAGATGTCTCCTTTCCCTCACAAAGCTTGTCTTACTGTCAATTGGTTTATTACCTTTGCTTTTTATTTCTATAATTTCTTCCATGAGCTATAATCTGTAATGTCTGCAATTTTTTAATGAATGCTGTTCTGTTGATTTGTTATAATAAATATTTTTGTTTGCAATTATGGATATTATCCTTTTTCTTTCCCCCCTGTCTCCTTTGGCAGTATGAAGATTTGTTCTCTAAGGTTGGCGGATGTGCGTACACCAAACTATTTGTGGTGAGAAAGTGGGCTAAAGAAACCAAGGTAGTCTGTTTAATGCTTTAAGATATCAGGAGAGAAGAAGGACTCTTAACTAGAACTGGATGAGATGTCAAAGTAGTGCATCTTAGGTTCCTTGTAAGAAGCCAAGTTTTCTATACTTGCAGAGAAAATTGAGAAATATGCCCTAGTGTGTACTCCAAACAGGCATAGTGGAGAATCAAAAGAATCTATGTATTTATTTTAAATCTCCATTTTAGCAGCTGTGGTTGTTAGTTTTAGTTATATAGGTACCTTGCCAATACTTCCAGGTACCGAATTGGTCCTCTGAGCCACTGTACTAAATACTGATTTCTCCTCCTCCCCCCACCCCCCATTACAAATGGGTAAAGGGAGGCACAGTTGTTAAATGAGCTGTTAAGCTTCTCAGGGCTAGGACTCCCGATTTTTACTG